GCCCATAGCTCAATAAGTGGAGATCCCCTCATATACAACGACCAGGCGAGCAGTGCACTGGTTTTTCCTTTAAAAAATCAATTACTATTTGAAATTTTCATATCTTTGAAACCCTAACTTTAAATCTGACATGCCATATATGAAAATTCATCAGAAAAATATGTAGATTTCAAATATGCTATTATCATTAATTTTTGAAATTACGTTCAGGGTGCAAACTTAAATAATACCTTCTTTGTATGATGAGATATTTTAGAAATGCCTATTACATATGTCCTTATAGATTGGTTGTTTTTGTGGAGCTATCCTATAGTTTGCAACCAAATTAAGTCTTGAACTGAATTATGATTGCACACACACACACACACATTCGCGTCGCGTCGCATATATATGTGCTGGGTATATTCACTCCGTCCGAAAAAACTTGTCCTTCAAAGAGATATACCTAGTACTAATTACTTTTTGAAATTTTCATATCTTTGAAACCCTAACTTTAAATCTGACATGCCATATATGAAAATTCATCAGAAAAATATGTAGATTTCAAATATGCTATTATCATTAATTTTTGAAATTACGTTCAGGGTGCAAACTTAAATAATACCTTCTTTGTATGATGAGATATTTTAGAAATGCCTATTACATATGTCCTTATAGATTGGTTGTTTTTGTGGAGCTATCCTATATGTTTGCAACCAAATTAAGTCTTGAACTGAATTATGATTGCACACACACACACACACATTCGCGTCGCGTCGCATATATATGCGCTGGGTATATTCACTCCGTCCGAAAAAACTTGTCCTTCAAAGAGATATACCTAGCACTAATTTGGTGTTAGATACATCCATTTGAGGGACAAACTTGGGACAAGTTATTTTGGACGAAGGGAGTATATGAAAACACTTATACACATGTTATCATTAAATACTAAAATGTACTTTGCTATTTCATTCTAATGCAATATTTTTTTGCGTCACCGAGAAACAACAACAAATGCGTAAACATATATTGGCAACTAGGTAGATATTTGCGTTGTATAATGAATTCTAAACACCTTCAGTTCACTTCAAAAATCATCATACCTTTATGCTTTTGCACAACACCACTTATCATGTTGCTTGTTTTTTTTAGAAAAGTTATCATGTTGCTTGTTGCGTGGCATCATGAAAGATTTCAATGATTTGTTGATGTCGTTAAGTGTATGTATGAGGCGTGAATTTTTTTTTCTCCTGTTGCAACGCACGGGCACTTTTCCTAGTAATAATAAAGACAACTGGGTTTCTGCGGTATGTCGTCGCGCGTGATTTTGCGAAAAAAACCTTCTATTTCTTTGAAATCAACCCGCAGTCCCTGTTTAATTGACACCCTGGAAAAACGTTTAGTTTTTGCATAAAACCCCCTGCATTTGTTAGAAATTATGCCCACGACCCTTATCTCTTATTGGACTGGCTCACCACCGCGCTTCTCGCCGCACGCGCCGCCGCTTGCCGCCTGCGTCGCGGCGGGCGTCCACGTCGAGCCGGACAAGAGACCCATGTTAAAGGCTGGTCGCAGCGGAGGCCTCGGCAGGAGACTCGAGGCGGTCCCGGGCGCGACGGGAAGCTGGCCGGAGCACACGGACGACGGCTCTGCTTGCCAGCGGTGGCCGGAGGCGGACGGGGCTGGCTCGGGAGATCCACTCGGGCACGACAGGAGGCTGGAGGAGAGGGCCAGACGTGGCTTGGCGGGCGCGAGAGGAAGCTGGAGGAGAGGGCCAGGTGTGGCTTGGCGTCTCCAAGAGTCACGAGGCCATCGCCGCCAGCGTCGGGCATCCAAGTCAGTCGCGGCGGCTCCCTCGTGCAAGGCTTTCGCCGGTCACCTTCCAGTCCAACTGCGTGGTGACCGCGGCGCCGCCGCAGGGTGACACTACCTGACATGCAGGGACGTCTCCGTTGGAGACTGACGAAGACGGGCAAGGCTGAGGTAGGGCGTTTCTGAAGCAGAGGGCCAGATAAATTGGCATTTGAGCTAATAATCCTAGAGAAGGAGAGACAGCCGATCCGAAGAGATGAGCTAGCGGAAGAAAAAAGTGTTTTGGGGCTTTCACCGAGGCAACTTCGACACTCCCACATCCGCGGCCTCCGGCAAACGAGCAGCACCACCAGAAGATTGCCCATCGCGCCTCCGCCACAGGCGCCCCAGCTAGCCCCCGCGCGTGCTGGCCGGCCGTCAGATCTGGCGAGCAACCGAGCCACTGCACACCGGCCCCGTTGCCCCCAGCCAGCCACCGGGAGGGGCTCCACCACCACGGCACGGGGACTCAGCCCCGGCCCCCGCGCGCCGACGAGCAGGCCGCCATCGCCCCAGCCGTTGCAGCAAACACAGCCGGGAAGTGGCTGGCCAACTGCAGCCACCACGGCCGAGAAGAGGAGAGCAGCGCTTGGGTGGTGTTAGGTGGATGGAGAAGAGAAGGGCGAGCTGCTTTGGGTGGTGAGGTAGCAGGAGGAAGATGGAGGCGGAGCGGCGCCTGAGTGGATGAGAGAAACGGCGATGTGTGGATAGTGGAACTGTGGAAGGGGCACGCAGTGGTGATGAGATAGCTCTCGTTGGGGAATTTGGGTGCGTCTTGCTTTTTTTAATCAAAAAATTGTATCTGAAGCTGCTGGACGCGGACGTGCTCATCGGGGCGGCTGGAACGGGACCAAAATGTGGTGTAGATGCACGTGCCTATGCATTCCTGCTGAGATTGATATAGTACTAACCAGACCAAGATGAGTAGTAATTACTGTGGTATTCCTGCTGATTGAAGTTTGGGGTAGTCTGCTAAATCGAATTGTTCAGAGCTACTCGTGGGTGTATATCAATCAAGGGATCAGTGTTGTTCAGTTTGATTCTACTTTAGCCCATTGCTGCAGGATTCAAAAAAACTGTACAATTTCGGTCGGATCGGTGTTGTTCAGTTTGATTCTGCTTTAGCCCATTGCCGCATGATTAAAAAAAACTGTACAATTTTGGTCGTTTTTCGTTCATATTTTGTCCATTTTTCATCCAAAAATTCAAATTTAATTGTCCTTTTCGTCCGAGATTTTCTGAAAAATTTCAAAATTCCAAAATCCGCCCATTCGTTCACGGACAGTAAATTTTTCAAAACAAAACACAAAACCTTGACTCGATGCTATGCGTGCTAGCACCGATTACATTTTCTTTACGCGATGAGCACCGACTATAATTACTTGCTGTTGTTTTTTGTTACTGTCATAATTTACTATTCATGACTACCACATCTTACAAATACATTATCAGATAGATTGACTAAAAGTGAGTGAATATTGAAAAGAAATATTTCTTAAGGTAGAAAATATTTGAGGCTCACCGGTACTTGCTGACCATCAAGATATTCCTCAACTCTGAATATCATCGATGTCGTTGATGAGATAGGGAGAAGAGAGGAGGGATGGGGAGTAGAGAGAGTGCAACAACGGTGCATCTTGCTCGCGTCCTGTTTCACCCCACAGCTGGGAGGGAGGAGCTCTTGCCTTTAGAACATAAAAACTAAAAAGAAGACTAACACCATCCATATCTGGATAAGGATTAGGCAGTGTTGTACTAATACACACACTG